AAAATTATGAATATGTGACCATTAATCACAAAATGTGACTTTTTTATCTTTATTTAATAAATATTTTTAATTAATTAAATAAATACCTGATTTTTGAATTTTTAAACTATTTACCTTATTTTTGAATTGAGGTAAAGAAAACACCTTAAATATGATTTTTTCCCATATCTATTTCCCAGTCGAAACTTAGACCAAACCCAAACCCAAATCAAAACACAAACACATGGATTAAACCCAACCCCGATTCAAATTCAAGAACCCAACTCTGCAAACCTCCAAACTAAAACCGAAACTCAATTCTAATCCATTGCAAATCAAATCAAGCCCGGCCCAAAATCAGACCCAAGAATCCAAACCCAATACAAACTCAAATACATTCCGAACCATAACTCAAATTGAACCACCCAAGTCTCTTCAAACCCAACCCAAGCTCAAATTAAAGAACTTTTTTTTCTCTAAACCCAGCTCGTGTATGGACTATTGATACGGATGGATACAAACCCACGCCCCAACCCCGTTAAGAAAATTTGGATGGGGATAAGGAACGTTGTCCTTTTTAAAATTTTTTGAACTCACTTCGAATCTTTTTTTATTTTATTTTAATGTTTTTAATCTTATTTTTATTTAAAACTCAAAAATAATATTAAAAAATAATAATAATAAACGGTACAACGAATGAAAATATTTTCTTCTGCATTACTCCTGCCCCATCATTGCCTCGTTCCCAAAAATTCCCGACGGAACTGGGGATGAGGAGGCCACTCGAAATCTTTCTTCATTTTATTGAATCTAATTGGCCCGTTTGTTTCAATTTTTCATCCATAAAAATGAAAAATATGACCGTTATCCATCACATCAAACCATCAATTTTGAATTTCTATCTTTTGTGTGGGGCCCAATAACAGTTATATGTTTCATTCTCATTTTACAATAACGAGAATGAAACGGGCTCTAATTAGGTAAAATTTATTTATGTAAGCGGATAAAGAAAAAAATATTTATGTAAATATAAATCAAGTTTGAAGATTCTCGTACCAAAGAGCTAGATCCTACAAATATTCTTTTGCTAACTCATCCCAAACTCAAACTCGAGAATAAATGCTTACGTCTTCTCGTTTTCTACCCATATTTTTTTTTTCGAAATCTAAGTGAACCTAAATTTCTACACGAAAAATTAATATATAAGAAGTATGAAATGACTAGACAAAATGTCTAATATAAATTGAGCACGCTACATCTTTATCTGTGTTATCCAATATTTTAAAAAAATGATAATTGGTGGTTACATGACAATTTTTTTATTGATAGATAATAATTTAAACATTAAACCAAAGATTGCTATGACTATGATTGATTATAATTTTAGAATTCATTACTAAACGAAACAAAATCTAATAGATTTATATCGAATATTTGATTTTGTACTTTTTTTTGAAGTCCATGAATTGCTGCAATAAAATTGTTTTTATGTTTGTCTTTTTGTGTTTGAAGTAAACATCATTTTCGTAATAATCAGTGTACCAACCTAAAATCTAGGTAGAACCACAGCTGGGGTCCTCAATCTATTGGAAATATAGCTAGTATGTCCTTAATCTATTTTTAATTGCTGCAGTCCTCAACGTTTCATTTTTGTAATACTTAAGTCCTTAGTGGATAACTTTACAGTTTTATGTTCAATTAAAAAGTCTTTTTTTTTTTTTTTGCTAAGAAGACTACTTTATTCTTCATTTTGAATTTTATAAATAATAAGATAAAAACTCGAAAAATGTATTTACAAGGTATTGACCTTCGCTACACAGTTAAACCTACAAAAATGATTTCTTACCCATGATGGGTAAAAATTATCTTGCCCATCATTGATGTGACCATGCAATTTTTGACAATTTGACAATTCAATATTGAATTGTCAAAAACTGTATGTTTGATCACTGATGTAGCGATATTCATGTTTTGTCATAGGAAATTATTTCTAATTAAACCTTTTGTTTGCTAGCTCATAAGTCGTAAGTATATCAACTTTAGAGCATGTTCAGAAGGTGTTAATAATAAAAAAAAAAGAATTGAGTGATAAATAGGTGGATAGTTATTTATTCATTTTTTTTTCATGTTATAAAAAAAACTTAATTGTTTATAAACAGGAGCCAAACACAGGCGAAGTTGTATGGTTTTTGATTAACGCTCATTACTTTTCTACATTTTGAATCTCAAAAATGAAATTATAAGTTGTCTTTTTGAATGTGTTGTTATATCATTTATTTATTTTTTGAGCCAAAAATAGCCTTTTTGACAAAAAAAATTCTATTAAATTAAGCATATGTTTGACAATTATTATAATGAATCTTTTTTTGGGAAAAATGGGTTTTGGAATAGTAATTTTTTCGAAAATATATAGTTAAAAAGTAAGAAAATTTTTAGATTTACGTATAAATATTTTATTGTGAGAATGTGTAGTTAAAAATGAGTTTTAAAAAAAAAAGTCTTGTTTTAAGGGTTGTCAAACAAGTGCTAAAGATAAAGGTAAAACTGTCCAATAGGTAAGTGCTAAAAAAATTAAACATTTGGAGACAGTCAACAGAATAATTGATTGAGGACTTAATTGCTACATTTCCAATAGAATGGAGCCCCTCTCTAATTTCTCTAAAATCAAATGTTGAAAAGAAAAAAAAAAAACCTAAAAAAAATTAAGGATTATGCTATTTGTCCAGAAAATGACATCCAAAAATTATGTCAAAAAATGATGCGTAGTAAAATGATTAGATGAAAAATTTGATTGTGTTTTAAACGGTTCAATGATAGAATGTTATATAACATTATGTGACCCATTAGAATAATGTTATTTGCTATTATTTACTATCGTTGTTGCCATACGTGACTTACATGTGGCGAATAGTGATTTGATGAATTAATGTGATTTCTTTTATTGTCTCGTGTATCAAATAATTAAATATTACATATATGTCACGTAAGAAGACTACGATAATGTGTAATTGCAAATAATATTACTCAACTCATTATGTAAGACTTGATATACATGCAGAAATGTCCAAAAAATAAACGTTGGATACCCTCTGATGAAAATTCATCTAATTCAAATGCAAAAAATGCCAAAAAAAAAAATAATAATAAAATGCCGGGAAAAAATGGATTTGTTTCAACATTAGGTGGCTCCCATGCTGGCTCCTGATGCCGGCGCGTGTACAATCAAATATACAACCGTGTCAACAATAGAAGACATTTGTACTACGTTTAAATACCTCAAAATCTGGAAAAAAAGAAAAAGAAAACCATAGGTCCATAACTATTTTGAGTTTCGACCAACTCCCCACCTAACAAAACCCAAAAAGAAAAAAGAAAAAAAAAAAAACATTTCAAATTTGTGGGTTTTTGGTTTTTTTTTCCCCCTTGATTTTAACGAAGATTTTAAGGCTATGGTAAAGTGAAGGATTATGGGTCCTAGAAAGAATTGTTGTAGTAGTATTAATTTTGATTACTCTTTCAAGGTATTGTTGATTGGTGACTCTGGTGTGGGAAAAAGCAGTCTTCTTCTTAGTTTCATTTCAAACTGTCAGCAGTTTCCTCAGAATCTCTCCCCGACAATTGGTATACTTTCTCTCTCATCATTTCTTGAGGTTTGTGTGTGTGTTGGGCTATGTCTTCTTGTCCCTTCTGATGGGATTTCCAATTGCATATAGCAATTGAAGAGGGAAAGGAAAATATGTGAAAAGTTCTTGTGGGGCTTTTTAGAGCAGGTTTGGGTAATCTTTTAAGTAGCTTTTTCGCCAAAAAAATGATATTTTTTTGGCTTCTTTTGAGCTTTTAAGCTCAGCTAAGCTAAACATGCTTATGTTTTAATTTGATTTGCTTTTCTTTTACTTTTAATTTGTTTTTACTATGTTTTACTCCTTCTACCCGTTTGATGGCTGGTAAGGTGTAAAATGAAGTTTGAATAATAGGAATCAAGAAAAAAAGAAGCTATAATTTGTGTATTCTTGTATCAGTCCAATATGCATACCATAACATTCAAAAGTGTTGTATTTGATAAAACTTCTTCATCATGCAAGTTTTTTTTCCTCAAAAGAACTAAATAAATTGATAAAAAATTATGCTTCGAAACTGTAATTTTTGATAGTTGTCGATTTGTGACATTTGATCTTGATCAGAGGAGTATGTTGCGAATTAATTCTGCACACTTTTGATCTTTGAGGTCGATTTTCCTATGTCCAGGAGTGGACTTCAAGATAAAGCTGTTAACAACTGGTGGAAAAAGACTGAAGCTGACCATTTGGGATACAGGTAACTGAAATATGAAGTTAATCTCGAAATGAAATACAGGTGAAATTTCTTGTTGGCTTTCAAATATTTATGTTCGTCAACTTGGAGTTGAATGTACAGAATTGGTATTCAATTCAAATATCTAATTCCAACTCCTTGCTGCCAAAAAGTTACCTATTGACTTGTATAAGTTTATCAAAATGCAGCGGGGCAGGAAAGGTTTGGAACATTAGCGAGTTCATACTATAGAGGCGCACATGGAATCATTTTAGGTATGCTATATCGTTTACTGTTTTACTTGATAAACTTAGTTCCTGAGGTGATATATTGAAGTTTGCTTTAGTCGAGTTCCATATATGAGGTGTGTTTTCTTGGAAAAACCACATGAGGCGTTTTTACAATCGTAATTCTATTACCAGCCGTTTCTTCTGAGCAGAGGTGGACACTCTTGTTTCGGAATTGGGCTATACTCCAGCCTAAAGTTTAGGCCATTTTTTTTTCTTTAAAAAGATTTAGTCGGCTCCAAAAGTCCATGTCCACCCGAGCTCTAAATTTTAGCCTACTCCCAAATTTAGTTCTAGTTCCACCCCTGGTTGTCAGTTACATCTCTTCTAATGTTCCCCAATTTTAGGCCATTGGTAGTTTACAGCCATTGTTCATTGTGTCTGTTTATTGAAAGTGCTCATTATGAGATTTCCCAACCTGGTCATATTTTTATAATATGATGTATTTTGTTGGTCTTTACACGTGAAAGTAACTACTGGATTATTTCATTGCTTATCACAGTTTATGACGTAACAAGACGAGAGACATTTACTAATCTATTGAAGATATGGGCCAAGGACTTAGAGCTTTACTCGACAAATCCCGATTGTATCAAGATACTAGTTGGGAACAAAGTTGATAAAGTGAGTGTGACCCCCTCGAACACGCACAATAACTGTGAAAATGGATTTGTCGTTGGCTTCCTCTGATATTTTCTATTGCCTACTTGTTCCTTCCTTTTTTTCTTTTATCTTTGCAAAGGGGTATGTCTTTTTATACTTTGAATGCAAGGAAAGATAAACTTTTGAAACTCCATGGGAGCAGAGACACACTTTTTGACTTATTAGAAGCTTGTGTAAATCAACATTTGTTTTTCGGTTTTCACAACCTTTAAAGAAACAATATATAATTCTATTTTCAGGATAGTGAGAGGGAAGTTACTGTGGAGGAGGGGATGGCTCTTGCACAGAAGCACAAGTGTTCATTTCTCGAATGCAGCGCTAAGACTCGAGAAAATGTGCAGCAGTGCTTTAAAGAGCTAACAATGAAGGTATACCTGAAAGAAAAGGCACACCTCTGCTGATATACCTTAATATTAACGTTAAATAAGCTGCAGAATATGCATTTTGTACTTAGTTTCCCAAGATAGCACTTTCTTGTTTTTTGGGTCTATCCATGAAGCATGAAGTACGCAGTTGTATTGAATATAGTTGAGCGAAAAAAATTACGATTGTCTTTCTGAGAACGAAGGGGAACAATTATACTAAAGAAGAAACATGGGGTGCAACTTCATAAGTCATTTTCTTCCTTTCCCCTTGAAATGAAAGGACTTCCTAAATAATGTCTTGAATGTCTGTAATATGCAGAAATAGGTAAATTATAATACGTAAAGGTTATTATTTCTTAGATATTAATCTGTTTGATGCGTCCATGTCTCATCCCAAGGACGTGAATCTAGCATCAGCAAGCAGGCATGGAGCATGCATTATTAGATTTCTGGCCTTGATGTCGTATTTGATATGATCAAATGACTTCATGCTTCTAAAGCTAATAGATTCATCAAGCTTCTGTGTTGTACTGTGTGGAACCTAATCATGCTATATATACACTTAACCCCCTCAATCTTGGATCAAACTTAGTAAGGCCACTTATTGTGTGCGTAAGAGGCACGAGAATCACCTTGTTCTCTTCTTCTCCATTGTTGTTAAAATCTGCAGGGGAAGTGGATATAGCTTTCCTAATTGAGTGTCAATTACTATAAATTTGCATGTTTGTTTATCTTCTTTTCGCTAGCATTTTGTTTATTATTGCTGTCGTAAGAAGGGATTATGTCTTAATCTCTAACGTTGACGATTAACGCCAAACCTTCCCTTGCATAGTATGTGAATGTATTCTATGTTCCATTACAGATTCTGGAAATACCTAGTCTATTGGAGAAAGGGTCTACGCCCGTGAAGAACCAAATTTTGAAACAGAAACAAGTTTGTCACGCCGAGCACAACAATAATTGCTGTTCCTAGTCGAAATACTTGGGGACACAAAAATCTGGAAATGCAGTTGACAATGGGGAGAGAAGGAACGCCTAAGCAGAGCATCCTTTAGAAACACACTTGTCATCCCTCACCATAGGATCGATTTCAACAAGGATCATGGTTGTGGAATTTTTTTCTCTCTCTCTTTTTTTTCTCTTCTTCTTCTTCTTTTTTTTTTTAATGTAAATTTGGATGGTTTTGGTTCTTCCATTCTTTTAATCTTTACATAATATATGATATATATGTATTACAATCTTTGATTATGAGAAGAATATATAAACTCTATATAGCTTAACACTTGTGTAAATTTACAGACATGAAACAGATTGTGGTCATACGCTGAAAGTGGATTTCGAATAACGTTTTCTGGCTGTTTTTGACTGATATATATTTTGGTTACTTTTTGTATTATCTTTCCGCTATTTGAGTTCATCGAGCAAAAATGTTAAGCTCCTGTATGGTAGAGATCAAAATTAAATTTTTAGCAAATTTTTATAAAAGTTAACGGAATTTGTAGTTGAAAAGTTATGAGTCCTACGAAATGTGTGACTTGTATTAATTGTTGACATGACTTGGATTTTAATAGCTAGCGTTCAGAGAAATAAATGTAGTCTCTCTCTTTTGAGCGGAACTATATAATGTTGTTCCAATTTTAGCCTGCATGCAGTTGAATCATATTAATGTGGCATTTTCATTTGGATCACCCTCCTAGTCACATTTCAAAAGTAGACAATAACAAAGCCACAGTTGGCTTGCAGATCCCTGAGTTTCCATGGATTCCTATGATTTTCGACTCGTAGTTAATGTTGGGAACTTCGTCTTATTTCGTATTCGTTTTTCAATCCTCTTTTAAGGAATTCAACAAGAACAAAGAAAGCGAAAATTAAAATAGCTATAGCTAAGACACATGTACTTACCCGAAAAACCTCTTAAAAAGGTCCAAATACTTAAAAATTAAAATTAGGTTGGCAAGCTGTACATGAAAAATTGTAGACATTGTTTTCTGCACATTCCTCTGCCGGCATGTAGCTGTCTTATGCCACACTATTCCTATTTGGGTTGAACTTTTCATATCATGTACTTTGGACAATCAGTTTGAACTTTCTGCACAAAAGGCCAGCCAGCATCAAACAAGTTTGAGAATATACATACTTAAAATATTCTAGCCAAAGACAGGAAGAACCTTATATCTACATCTACCTTATTACAACTTCTCTTCAATCCCAATCCTCGACCCTTGCAATGGCTTATTCTAGTCTTTGCAGAAGGCTTATTATTGCATGCTCAATATTGCTGGCCATTCTTGTTTCTGGAGTTAATTGTGTTGACATTTTCCATGAGTGGATTGTTTCAGTTGATAACACTATCAACCCTGTCTCAGTTTCTCAACCTGTATGACTTTTTCGATATATCTAGAAATGAATCAATTGAGAAGTAAAAGAGAATTTATATAGTCGACCCCAAATTTATTTTATATACGCACTAATTGTATGCGACTGTTGCGTGGCAGGTTATTACTATCAATGGAATGTTTCCAGGGCCACTCATCAATACCACAACCAATGATGTTGTTCATGTCAATGTGTTTAACAATCTGGATGAACCTTTACTCATAACATGGTAAGAGTACAGGAATAAAACTGGGATTGACCCTGTCGTGTTTGATAGGTTGGATCAGACATAAGCATACTAATAAAGTCTTGTTCGTTTTAATGTCTAATCTAGTTGAGTACCGTGCCCACCAATTTCCAGGAATGGAATACAACAGAGGCTAAATTCATGGCAGGATGGAGTTTCCGGCACAAACTGTCCAATTAAAGCCAGGAGTAACTGGACTTATGTATTTCAAACCAAAGATCAGATTGGCACCTTTACATACTTCCCCTCCATTAATTTCCACAAGGTTGCTGGAGGATATGGACCTATTCGAGTCAACAATCGGAATCCTATTCTCGTGCCTTTCCCTAAACCAGAAGCCGAATTTGATCTTCTTATTGGTGACTGGTTTGAAGCCGATTACAAGGTAAATCATCATCACCCACTCATTAGTCGAAAATTTCCAAAATTTGATGGAATTTTGAGTCCTGATAAACAGGAAATTAGATCACTGGTGCAAGAGATTTGGGGTATTCCTGATGTGATGCTGATGAATGGTAAAGCGCCTTATGGATATTCAAATGCCACGGACTATGAATCTTTAACTGTCACGAAAGGTAAGAAAAAGTGGTCCTCTGTTCTACTTCTAGATGCTGATTTATATGTCAATTATGAGTGAATAGTTTCTTAAAACTACAATTAGCCATTTTCTCCAATATATCATCCCTCAACTCAACTCGACCACGGCATGTTTGATAGGTTGGTGTGAACATGATTAAAGAAGAACATAAATTCCGAGCTATATTAAGGAAGCAAAATAAAAAAATTAATTCTACTTCAATTATAGGATAAATTTTATTTTTAGTAATTAGTGTCAATGACGTAACTATACTTTAATTTTATTCAACTGGATAAATATACTTTAATGTTATTTCAATAAGGTAATTACAATTTAGTTTGACTTCAACTAAAGCAACTTCGTCAAATGCTACTGACGGAAATCAATTACACGGCACTCAATAAATAATGATAATCACACGTAACTGTTAGTTGCAAATAAGTACAGCTTCAGTGAAATAAATGACTATCATTATTTATTGATCGTAACTGTTAGTTACTGGCTTTTTATGTGCTGTTAATGTTTCGAACCGATACTGATACGAGTTTATGAGCAAATCTTGATCATCTGCACAGGGAAGACTTATCGAATTAGAGTTTCAAATGTGGGAAGTGTATTCAGTTTCAACTTCAGAATTCAAAATCACAAGATGGTGCTTGTTGAAACAGAAGGGTCATACACCAACCAGATCATATTGGATTCTCTTGATGTGCATGTTGGACAGTCCTATTCTGTTCTTGTTACCGCCAATCAAGATGAAGCCGATTATTACATGGTTGCTAGTCCAAAATTGTTCGACACCAATTTCAGTAATACCCCTTATCTCGTCGGAAATGGAGTATTACACTATGCCAACTCCGTTGCAACAGTCGGGGGACCTGTTCCAAATGGACCTGATCCATTCGACATAGAGTTTTCAATAAATCAAGCAAAATCTGTCAGGTCGGTAATTTGTATTAGAATTTTTTTGATATTTAACTTGTTTCAAACGCGTTGTGAATGATAAAAGTATAGCTATTTACCAGCATAACTAAAATACTAGCATTTTTTGTTGTGAAAATAGATGGAACTTGACTACCGGTGCTGCAAGGCCTAATCCACAAGGCACGTTCAATGTATCGAATATTACCTTAACACAGACCTTTATCCTCCACGGATCAAAAGCTGAAATTAACGGCATGCTGCGCTATGTAGTCAACAATATGTCGTATTTGACTCCAGATACGGCATTAAAACCTGCTGACTACTTCAGAAATGGTTCTGGTGTGTATGAACTCGATGCATTTCCGGTCCGTTCTGTCAACGATGTTGCTACATATGGAACTTCTGTTGTAACGGGAGTTCACAAAGGATGGCTCGAAATTGTGTTCAATAATGATCATGAAGTCATGGACTCTTGGCATTTGGATGGCTTTGGATTTTATGTTGTAGGGTAAGGTTTCACTCACAACTACTTTTTTTTCTTTTTCGCTCATATTATCTTAATTTATTTAATTATCTCGCATCATTAATTGTTCGTGCTCTTGTTGCATATTCGAAAAATAGGTTAAAATCTTATCCATAATATTGTATGTTTCTATCCAATACTACGTACCAAACATGCACTAATTTTGTAGCCGTTGTTTATTATTAGATTTGGCGAGGGAGAATGGACACCAGAATCACGCAATACATACAACCTCTATGATCCAGTTGTTCGTTCGACAGTTCAAGTGTATCCTGGTAGATGGACTGCAGTGTCTGCATTCCTTGACAATCCCGGTATGTGGAATTTGAGATCTCAAAATTTACAGCACTGGTACATGGGACAAGAGATATACATACGGGTTCATAATGACGACCCCAACCCTGCCAAGGAGCGTCCGCCGCCTGAAAACCTCCTTTTATGTGGTTAGTACCGAATATATGTATATGTACATGCAAGTGTGCGTATGCATAAACTACTCGTATAACTTGGGTATATATTTCTTGTACTATTTCAGGAATTTTTGATGAATCTCCTTCACCATCTGGTGCACCTGCTCCACAGCCGAGATGATGACTAACACATTGGATCTCTTGATTTTCTGATGGCTGATATTGTTTGGAATTTTGGTTCGTAGAAGTGATCTGAATTGCCATAGTGAAGAATACATTTTTTTTCTCGTGAATTCGCATATAGAATTATTGTAATGTAATTTTCTAGCTCTGGCTTACCAATTTTTTATTATTAGTAGTTGTTACATATGTGGGGACTACTGACATTTATAATTTGAATGTTCGATATAGTTCGTCATAGAATGACTATTTTGCGATCTTCATAGAATGTATTTCCAAGATCTCGTGTAATTACATCTATAATTGTATGTTCACATCAGTTTTGTAGCAATTTATAACTAAAAAAGGTAGGTAGTGAACGATTCAACGATTGACTTGATCAGTAGTACCTTGATCAAGTTGATAGTCGATTTGAATTCGATAATTCGTCACTCATTTTATTTATGTTGGAAATTGGTTTAGATAAGTTGGTTTTAGTAAATTTTTTTTATCAATTATTTGAGTCGGACCCGTTATTCGATTACGAGAGTTTGAAGGTCGAGCGTGTTATACTCCACAAGTAGATTTATTGAAATATAAGTAGTTGATCGACATCAATTTTGGGCGAATGAGATATTAAGATCGAAAGTGATACACTTGTTACATGAAAATCATCGGAATTTGCAATTAAGATGATGGAACTTCGATTAATCAAGTTGTGACACGTGATGGAATATTGTAAAATATGTTTGGCTGAAAGGTCGTTTTGGACAAAAAATCAGAACTTTTGAACTTGTCCTTTTCTAACTGGCGTCTCTCCTAAAATCGATATATAATCCAATAGTTATGTGAATTTTATCGTGTCTTGAACTTTTATGTATGTCCTCATATTTGTAGAAATAATTTTGTTATTCCAGCATTATCAAACTTCTAAATTTTCACTAATAATTTTTATTTGTATCATAGAAATGAGATTAAAACTTCGAAGTACTTTTCATCGAGTTATTCATAATTAGTTTTTCTATTAAACCTTATGGGTACTCCAATTGTCACTTCAGGTTTTCATTAAGTTGATTCATTAAATTTAGGTTTTAAATATATTTCCCTTGACGTCCAGTCTATTCGCTATCTCGATACCACCTTGGTAAACGTCTCTAGTTTTGCTTTCAATTTAAATTAATAGATATTATTCCATTAGAGAGTAACTGTCGAATGGTATTATGTTTATAACGTATATGTCTTGACTTGCCGTTATATACAAAATTCCATATATGTATTAAGAATCCTCCCCGAAATTTTGTTAAGTCACATGCTTCTTTCTAGCTTAATCTAAAGCTTTAATTTGACGATCAACTCACAAGTTGTTTGAAGGATTTTTAATGTATAACTGCACTATGTACTAATTAATATTTGCCTGATGATCTAAAAATTGCTATTGCCAATTAACATACCATTAACATATAAACAATCAATGACATAACCTTTGTTAGAGAATTTTCACACGTTCGCCACTTTGGTACGATCTTAAAATCACTAAATCTATTTGACATCAATATCGTCAAATTTCTCATGTCAATTTTATTGCTAGTTTCGGTCCATTATGTACCATAATAAAAATGCAATAGTTTTATTGCACACCCAATAAAAGTTTTCATTCCCATTTTAACCACTTTTAATTTAGAAAACATCATCTTTGTGAATTATCATCATTGTTGTATCGTGACCCAAATTCCATTGGGATTGGAGGTTCCGTTGGAAAAGGGCTTTGAATAAATCATAAGATGAAATAAGAATTTTTGGGCAGAAGTCGGGCGATAAAGCGCAGGATCAAGGCGCTTAGGCGCTGTTTGAAAGCATTGGAACTAGTTTTGTCTCGAGATGAGGCGCCCTGGCACCATTCAGCGCTGCACCGTTGCTTGCCTACTGCCCGGATGTCGCTCAAACGGCGTTCGAGCGCCATATTTATCCGGCCTAAGTCCGTTTCGCATTTTATTACATTTTTTGTGTTCGTTATCATCTATAACTCTGTTTCTAGGGTTCATACATATCATCCACGACTTATAAACTGATCACAACATTCATGGAGCCTTGAGAGAGTTTTAAATCTTGATTGAGAGCATTGAGATCTTGTGTAAACAACATTCATAATTGATTATAGTGAAATACTCATCATCTGCTCGTCTTTTTTTTTTTAATTTATTTTCTTCCTGTCTTGGGTTTTCACGTAAAATCCTTTTGTTGTTGTTGTGTGATTGATTTATTTATTTCATCTTTGCAATTTCTTACTTTATTCACAACAATCATACTTCTAAAAATTGGTACAAGGGTTTCTACCTTTTTCATCTTCTTAGAAAATTTTATTTAAATAACTAAAATCATATCATTCTCGACCGTAACCATTTTTTACTGCATTTTACGCATTTCTCGGCCTACAAACCCTTCTAGTAGTGTTGCATGCAGAGCCACAATGGGAATTTGATGCTATTATGATAGATATTTGATGTTATTTTATAACATATTTGCAGTGGATTAAGAAAATTTTGAAATATGTATTGAGTGACGTATTTTACTTCAATTTCTGTTAGATATTGAAAAGATAATTTGTATTGATAGTTCATGCTTTTAAAAAAAATATATTATTAATAGAATGGAACTGGAACCGGAATTGGAATTGGAATATTGGTGGTTCGAGTTCATATCTAGTAATTATGGGCACCCCAATGATTCCATTTAAAAAATACTCGAAGTGTAATAAGTGATTTCAAATATTAAATTACTCGAACTGACTCATCGAAACCCATGCCTAGTCATGCCTCCATCCACTCCCACCTCAACTATAGCCTTATTCAGCCTCTCACATACACTCATACAAAAGAAATTGTCTATTACTTTGAACTTTTTACTTTATAAAAACATTATAATTAATTAAAACAAAAAGAGAAGAAATCTTCAAATTCAGTGGGGGCACCCTCAATTGCATCCATGTCCCTTTGCCACTGCCTAATGGTACAATGTGCAACCTACATTCAGAATCAAAAGTACACAATAAAAGCTAAAAAAGCGACATTTCATCCATCTTAGCTATACACCTTGGTAGGGATGAAAACGGGACAAAAAGTTCCCGATCCCCTCGTGGACCCGGCCCCAACATGGTGAAAATTCCTTGACTAACCAGGGAGTCTGGATGGGGACAAATATAAAATCCATCTTAAAAAGGATGAGTCGCATCCTTGACGACCCCCACCTTCCCTATCCTGAGCCTTGGTGAATGAGGTAAATTACAAGTTATGCCTCCAAGGATATAGGGTGGAAGGCTCCTTGTGCAGTCTCAAGCAAAGTTGAAATTTTTCTACCTTCCTCTTTTACCATTTGGAGATGTGCCATGCATAGGGGATATAAAGACCCTATCTTGCTTGAGTGCAGGGTGGGGACGAGGAGCATGGTCCCCAACTGTCCTCATCTCTAACAGTAATATATTTAATTATTATATTATATTTATGAAAATATAAAATCAAAGTTCTGTACTAATGGACTAAAAAAATAAATTAAAAACAACAAATCCAATTCATGGCCCATTGAAATGTAAAATTCACTATTTAATGATGATAATTCATTTTATAGACTAGTCTTTCAATGTATTTATAACAATCATACTACATGTACATTCTTACTTGCATTAAGTTTGACATTATAACACATACATCCATCATAGCTATTGATTTTTACAACACCATTTACATCATTGGCCAGATTTTGACATGCAAGGGGCAATTTCAACAACAATGTACATATAACTTAATTCTATTTTTAAAAAAAAGTTGGAGTCTTTTTTATGCATTTATAGTTTAAGCGTTTAGCTTTAGTAGGGATTTCATCTTGTCTCACGTCGAAAAATTATTATTCATATTAGAGAAAGAATGTCTATAAATAATAATTTAGTTTAGTTTTATTCTTTTAATGTCTTAATTAGTCAAGTCTTTTTTTTTTTTTTGAAATGAATTAAATGATTAAATTTACATATTTTACATCAACAATAATAAAAAATTAATTTATCATCTAATTTTATTGAAAACATGATTAAACATGACAAGTGATCCCCCACCTTGCTCTATCCCTGCATAAGCATGGGCGAGGATGAGATGAGAAAATTTTCAACGGAACAAGGACAGGGACGGGGATGGGGTCGAGAAATGCGGTCCCATGCCCAAATCCGCTCCATTGCCATTCATACGCCATGTTATCATACACTAAGTGTAGTATGTTTTTGACTCCTAATCACTTTCACCCTCTGATTGAAGGAGGTTTAGTGTATGTTTGGTAATTTTTTTTTTTGCATATTATAAGTTGTGAGTCTTAAGAAAAGTGTAGGAGTCCCCATCTGGCACCCATTATTCGAAATTTTAATGGTTGAAACTTGAAATATTGTTTTTTGAAAAATGTGTGATTAAAAAAGAATAAAATGTTTGGGATTATGTGTAATATTATTTTATTGGAGAATGCGTGATTGATAAGAAGTGAGAGAAAAAATGAATTATAATTTTAATGTGGGCCGAACATGAGCTAAATAAAAAAGTGAATCACACCATTCCCTACTTTTCAAGATCTATATTTTAAAACAGATCTGAAGTTTAAATTTTCAAAAATCAAATATTTTTTAATTAGTTACATTATATATATATACACACAATATAATTACCCAAACCCACCATAATTATTTCATCCCATTTTCTCTCCCCTCTCTCTATCCTCGGCACCAGCACACAACCTCACATCGCCGACACGACCATTGCTAGCACCACCACCTCCATCTCTGCGTTTTTGTCCTTCGTATTGTTGCGAAAACATCTTTACTAAAAAGGGATCTTGGCACCATTTGTATTTGTGTTGCAGCGATTTCTACCAGGATAAGTCGTCGTCATCACCCCAAAATGGAAAGGTAATATCCGATTAATTGGGTAAAAACATGCTGTAAATCTATTGACTCGATTTGATTGATGTGAATGATTTAATTTCAACACGACCTAGATCTAATCCTGCCAAGTTCCCAATATCAGTGAAGCCCTTGGCAATGCCCTCCCTTTCTCCTTCTTCCGCGACGTGTGGCTGTGTTGGGGGTGGTGCGGTGCGATTCGCCACGGTAAGTAGTGTTGGTGGATCTGTGCAGTGTGGGCGTGGCGGTGGTGGTATGTGGTGTTGGTGAATTTGTGCGGTGTGTGGTTGGTGGTGGATCTGTGTTGAGGTAGTGGTTGTGTATGGTGTAAATGGAGATAGAGAAGATGGTGGTGGTAGTGTGTCGTGGGTGGCGCGGTGGTGGTGGATTTGTGCAATGTGCGATGGTGGATTCATGCAATGTGCTGGTGGGTGTCGGGCGTGCAGGCGATATGGGGTTGGAGGTAATTGTGATTATTTTGTGCATGTAATTGAGTGTGACCAATTAAAATTGTGATTGTGATTCACTGTGATTGAGTTGTGACCAATAAAATTTTTGACATATTGTTAAATTGTGATCTTAAAATTCGATAATTTGTGACTAAAAAATAATTTGTGATTTGTGACCGAAAAATATTACGCGACCTATTATTTTAACAAGTTGTGACCTATAAAATATGTGATTTGTGACAAAAAATAATGTGTGACCAATTAATTTGAGAATGCCACCAATAAAATAAATGGTTTGTGACCAATAAAATTTTGGATTTGTCATCGATGCATAATATGTGACCTAAATATTGTTACCGTGACACATAATTTATTAAGTTGTAATCGAGTTGTGACCAATAAAATTTTTGTATAGGTCACAAATCAATATATACGAGTCACGGATCAGTATGATCAATTAATTTGATAGTTAACTATGACTAATTAATTCGTCGTTAAGATCACAGATCATTGTCATAAGTTTGAGTTCACAAGTCATGGTCATTTTTTATATGTCACAAATCAATATAAACATGTCACATGTATTTGTAGAGTCACGGTTCAAATTTACAGGTCACATTTTATATCATATCAAATGTACAAAAAAAATATATATAGCGGAGTTGTCCCCGGAATATTCGCCAGAGTTGGAATATTTGCCAGAATAAGAGCATTCGCCGGAATAAATCGTCGTCGGAACAGTCACCGAAATCGGAGCAGTCGTCGAAACGGTTACCGGAGCGGTGGAGGTTTTAGAAATGTGAAAGTTGTTTCTTATTTTTGAAATAGTATATAGTAAAAATCTTATAAATGAAATTTTCCCAATAAAAAATGTGGATCCTTACAAGCTTGAAAAATCTTAATCAAGCATACTTTTCATAAATTTATTATCGTACCATAAGTTTGGGAAGTGCAGTTTCGCCATAATATCCATAATGTATTCAAAAGCATCCTTGGATGTGTGTGGCCTTAGTTTCCTAGGCTGGTTTGAAGTGTGCATGGATTTACGGTACACCTCAGTTTAGCAACATACATATTTCTATAATTCTATCAGATACACCCTGTCCACCTCTCTTTCACTTTCAATGGACCTCTTTCTTTCTCTCTACAATTTCATTCTCTCAATCTCTCTCTCTCTGTACATATAATTTATCAGTCTATGTGGTGGTGGTGGTGGGAGTAGGTGAAATATGGAGGCTCCGGTGGACGTGGCTGCAGGTCCTTGTAAAGACCTCACCCACATCGTCAAGGGTGTACGTACCAAGAGACAGAGGCTTCGTTCCCCCATCCCTTCCATCATAAGAGGCGGCAGCGATGCGTATTGCAACAGCATTCACCACCACAATAATCACGGGTCCGGCTCGTCCACCGTCGAGGAGAGCATAAGCATTACGTCCGAGGATGAAGAAACTGCCAAATGCTTAGTCCTCTTGGCTCGAGGGCATCGTTTTCCACAGAAAAGCAAGATTGATCATGATCAAGATTATAAATTCAACAGCAAAAAATATATTGAAACATCATCAACTGGTGGAAACAAGGCAGGAATTTTTGTATATGAATGCAAAACTTGCAGCCGAACCTTTCCGTCTTTTCAAGCACTTGGTGGCCACAGGGCCAGCCATAAGAAACCTAAAAACATGGCTAAAAGAACATTTTTCCTATCTGATTCTGAAGATGATTTTTCATTCACTATGCATAAAAATGGCATCAAAATATCTTCTCCTCCTTCTCTTCAACCAGTTATCAACACGGAGAATTCGTCCTTTTGTTCTTTTAAGGTTCATGAATGCTCTTATTGTGGGGCTGAGTTCACTTCCGGACAGGCTTTGGGAGGACACATGCGGCGGCACAGGGGCGGCGGCGGCCCTGCAGTTGCTGCAACCAACACAACCTTGTCTTTGAGTACTCCTACGAGCCAAGCTTCATTTGATTATTACAATCAAGAATTTGAGGAATCGAAGAAGACAACAAGAAATTCTCTGTCTTTGGATCTTAATCTTCCGGCCCCAGAAGATGAGCATAAACAAAAGCAACAAAAAGAAGCTGAATTTGATTTTTCTACCACCCCAGCATTGGTTGACTGTCATTATTGAGAAGTTTCACTTCTTCTTTATACATTGATATACGGTTTAAACATAAATTTTTCAGTTTCCTTTTTATATTTTTGTGGATGTGATTCTTTAATTGATTTCTCAATGTTTTTATAATTTGACACTTAAAAAGTACATTAATTGGTAAATTTTCTGTTGCTTCTTCTTGTTGGTTTATTATAGGAAGGAAATAAAAATAAAACTTCTTCTATTCTTTTGAATGTTACACATGCTGATAATTTGTATGTGTTAGGTGGCCATAATATTTTTCACCTACGCAAAATATATTAAATCAATTTAAGGTAAAAAGTGATAGTATTATAAGTTCCACACATCCTAATTCATATCGTGCATGTAATTATAGTAAAACAATAAATGAACTTATAAAAGTAAGTGTAACAAATACATTTGTCGTTATGACTTTTGTTCAAGAAATTAAACTATAGGGAGTAATTGTTTTCGAAATTAACCTATAGAGAGTAACAAATATCAAAATCACAAAAGTATAGAATCAAGAATGACTACACATGCTAAGGAAAAAAGTTAAAAGCTATGTTCCAGCTCACTGGAGAATAAAAATAATAACGCGTTGTAAAATGAAACAAACAACGTACGTAACTAGAGATTTAGATGACAAGATTGAAAAGAGATTTTTAACTTTTCACTTGTGTTACTTTTTACTTGAAAAGTAACTAGAATGTTCGCTCCCCGGAGAATAAAAACAATAACGTGTTCTAAACTGAAATAAACAATGAAAGTAACTAGAGATTTAGATGACAAAATTGAAAACAGATTTTTAACTTTTCACCTGTGTTATATGCAGGGGTGGAATCACGACTGAATTTTAGAGTAGGCTAATTTTTTATAGTTGGCCCTAGGCTTTTGAGGTGGGCTGATTTATTTATGGGAAACAATTATAAGTCCTGTATTAAAGTATGTACCAAATCAATTATTAGACATTAAGGTTGCGTTTGGTTTGTATTTCTATTTTGTTTTCAATTTTGAATTCATTTTTTGTTTTATGTTTTGAGGGATTATTTTAAAATTGCAGAAAACGAGTTTGATTTGTTATTCCGAAAAACTGTTTTTCAAAACAAAAAATTAGAAAACGTGTTTGGTTTAAAAATTTTAGAAATAGTTTTATGATATTTTTTTTCCAATTAATTTGATTATTTAGTAAAACATAAGTAGGCTAATTTTTTATAGTTGGCCATAGGCTTTTGAGGTGGGCTGATTTATTTATGGGAAACAATTATAAGTCATGTATTAAGTATGTACCAAATCAATTATTAGACATTAAGGGTGCGTTTGGTTTGTATTTCTATTTTCTGTTTTCAATTTTGAATTCATTTTTTGTTTTATGTTTTGAGGGATTATTTTAAAATTGCAGAAAACGAGTTTGATTTGTTATTCCGAAAAACTGTTTCTCAAAACAAAAAATTAGAAAACGTGTTTGGTTTAAAAATTTTAGAAATAGTTTTATGATATTTTTTTTCCAATTAATTTGATTATTTAGTAAAACATATCAATTTTATGTTTATATGTGATTATTTACTTTTATAAGTATTTGCTTGTCTGATTTTATTAATTGTTTTAATTTGAGAAATATTTAAGTTCATTTTCCTTGTTTTGAGTTTTTTTTGAATGTTTTCATTGAAAACACTCAAAACGTCAAAAAGTCATTTTGAATTTTATATTTTAAATTTTTCATTGTTTTCAAAAACTCATTTTTGAAAATAACATACCAAATACATTTTGCGTGTTTTAGAAAATTGAAAACTGAAAATGGCCTTAAAACGGCAAACCAAACGTACTCTAAGTTTAAAAATGCAAAATTCACATGTTAATTCAATATTTTAATTTTAAATAATAATATTATCAAATTAAATTTATCTACCCACTCTCACCATGTCAAACAATCGTCCCACCCCACACCACACTACACCACACCATCACTCGCTGCCATCCACTCTTACGATCGTCGGCATCCAAACCATCGTGACTTCTTCAACAATGAACTAATCGTCATCGTCGCTCAGCAATGAATGAACATCTCTGGCTTAGATAGTAGAGATAGAGGGAGAAACATAGTGATCGTTGAAGAACATCGATTGAGCATCGTCGATGACTGATCACCTTCTTTAGCGGTAACTCAATAGTGCTGATATAATTTATTTATTTTTTAAAAAATTGAATTGAAAAACAACATCTGGTAAAATTTACAGAGTACTCATCAGAGCAAATAACTTCAATGCTCACCGTCGAAATCTAGTTAATTGAATTTGTGACCAATTCGGAGAATTGAGGTCGAAAAAATCAATGGCATGTGACCAAATCTCTTGAATTTGTGACATGTGACCTATGCAATTTGACATATGACATGTTACATGTGACATGCGACTCTATGGACTTTGATAAGTTATTTGTAATATTGATCTAATGTCTTGAGACCAATTCTCTTAGATCCGTGACTTGTAGAAATTGATCTGTTACCTATGCAACATGACCCATGACCCGTTGACATTAATATGTGATTTATACAATGTGACATTTGACTTGTGAATGATGACCTATGACCTGTGAACATAAATCAGTGATTTGTGATCAATTCTATTTGATATGTGACCTATACAATATGACGTGAGTGGAGTGTGGCTTGTGACCAAATCTGTATAATTTGTAATCTATTTACATTTATATGTGACCTATGCAAAATAAACTCTGACTTGACAGTTTGACCTATGACTTATCACTACCAACAGTGGATAATGACCAGCAAACATGATATGTGGTCATCACCACTATCCCCATTTGTAAAACCACCAACAAAACATTCTAATGGGCTACCCCCTTCAAAAGCAAAAACATCGCCACAAGCATCAACGTCGCCACCACATCAAATCCAAAATATCACCTCCTTCATCAAATCACAATCACCTACAATTTTCATTATTTTCCCTCAACAAAACCCAGAATCGAAATTGAAAGTTAGTTTCTGCATAAGAATTATCCTTCACCTTCGGAAACCATCACACTGGAACACCACCCTTGTCGTCGACCACCTCAACTGTACCCATCAACACCTTAAGTCCCTTCCTTAGCCCTAATCACATAAGCTTTGTCTTATGTTGTCTTCTCCAACAAGAACATTATTTCTATGGATATACTTGATTTTTTATAATTGTTTGAACTCCATCGATCCAAAACAAAGCTAATCAAAAAATTGGGAAAGTGAGACCTTCGAAATTGATTTCTACTTCATGCTTCTAGAGAGAGTATGGAGAAATGGTAGAAAAAGAGAGTGTAGAGACAAAATGGTAGAAAAAGAAAGTAAAGAGAGATATTAAGGGTCTGTTTGATAGCCCAAGTTTTCTAGGGAAGATGGAAAATACCATACCATTTTCCACAAATTGGTCTGTTTGATAGACATAATTTTCTTGAAATGGCTCATGTAATCCCTTAATTCCACGAAATCGTGGAATTGGAATTCCCTTGCATCTGGTGGGTTTTCATTTTCTTGGCAATTCACTCACCACTTTCCCCTTTTCTTCTCAGGCCTTCCTCCCCTTCACCCTTCTCCGTCTCAAATTCCACCAATAAAATCACCACAACTTCTTGTCATTGAAAGGGAGGAGAAGAGCTGTCGGTATCCAAAAAAAATCAAGACGAGAGTTCCTTTTCACGCCTTCGTCTCGTTTACTGTCTCCTCCGAAGGGTTTCTGATATACCCTCAAATTCCATCGAGAAAATCACCACAACACCCTATCATCGAAGGAGACGAGAGCACGAGAAGCTGTCGGAACTAGAAAACCCTCAAGAATCCCTAATTTCAGACCATCGAGTTGCTGATTCAAGTCTGCTCTATGCCCCTTTATCTCTGCCATGTTTTTCCCAAAAATTCAATTAATGCGTAAGAAAGAACAACCCTTCGATTCCCATCTCCCACTCCATGTAAAATGTGGGAGAGTACTTGAAGGAAGAGCCTTGGTTGAACCTCCCGTGTAGCAAATTCAAGTCTTGCTTTTCACCAATTAAAAATTTTCTGTTTTTCCCTTTGTATCATCTCACGGTCTGTAAATAGCTACGAAAATTTGCCGAGCTTCTATTTTGAACTCAATGGCTTTGAAATCGAAACCTTAGCAAGTGCTCAAATTATTTTTACTATTTAAACTCCATTATTTGAAAAGGGAAAATGGAATGAAGCTGAATTTGGAAGGTAGATTATGCAGTGCTAGTAACCAGGGGCAATTTTAACATTACTTAACATTATGCAGTGCAAGAACCAGGGGCAATTTTAGTTGTCCAGTACGAAATTTTTTATAGCTGATCTCATTTTGTTGATTATCTTGTTGGAAGACACAGGCTGGGAATTATTGTTATTTGAATGGAATGAGAATCAAGACTTTAATTGATACATCCACATGTCTATTTTCTTGTTTGAGGGGAAAAAACTGCTCTTCTATATGTAGCACTTGTTTCAATTATGTGCGTTACCCCAAAATCTGAGGTTTGCGTTTTATGGTTAAATTGACTAGTCTGCATCAATATCTTCTCCTTGTTGAGAAAACCATGCTGCTACTGCACTGTTCTAGAGAGCAAGATTTTTGTAAATGCTAACTTCCATTTTAGGTTTTTTGGATGCGCTTTGATATGCCTGACAAATGCCAAAGCCTGGTTGGAGCTGTGGTTGTGCTTGACCCCAGTTGGAAAACATAACAAAACAACAATAACAAGAAGTTACGCCTTGCTTTATTGAACTCAGAATTGGCTCTAGGAATCCTTTATTCACATTTGGTTCTATCTACAACTATTTCAACTAAAAAGTTAACCTTTTGCGTCTATCCCAGGGCATGTTATTTCTAATGTACATCTTCTTCTAGAATGTTGTACCAAGATAGCATTGCATTTATGAATTAGAGCTTATTTATGTCTAAAGATGAACAGATATATGACTTCATGGAAAATGAAATGGTCCAGTTGCCAATGCATTTTGTTTCTTCTTC